TTCTTGATTGCTGGCGTTTTCACTGTACTAGTGACGTGTACGGGGCTGCTTGCTGCCGAAACCAATCATGGCTGCTGTCTATCTTGCTACTCTCTTGGATTGGCTATCCTGTTGATGGGACAGGCGACGTTGGCAGCGATCATCTTCTTAGATGACACGTGGGAGGAGGATTTCCCTGCAGATCCGACGGGAGAAGAGAAAAAGGCAAAGGCTTTCGTCCTCAAGCACCTCGTCGTCTGTCAATGGACCGCCATAGCCGTGCTTGCTGTTGAGCTGTTCGGCCTTCTTCTCTCCCTGACGCTAAAGGCCATGCAGGAAGGAGGAAGACGGAGAGGAGGCGGTTACGACAGCGATGATGAGTACACGTTGGGATCCCGGTCGGCGATTCGGCAGCCGTTGCTGGCGCCACGCGTCCAGCCTGGGAGCATGCCACCGCCCATGGCCGGGCCGCCGCAAATGGGCTCACCGGTGGGACAAGTGAATCAAGGCTACAGGGGCCTGCCACGTGGACCGTATGGACCAGAGAGGGGTAGTAGAGGACCCATGTAGACTGCCACGTCCTCTCGCATTCGCCCGCACTCTCTGACACTCTCTCTTACTCTCCCACACACTCTCACACTATCACACACACACCCTCACACACTCTTACACACACACTGTCTCACAATCTGACTCTCTCACCCACTCTCTCATACATACACTCACACTCACACAGACACACATAGACAGAGGGACATAGAGACGCAGAGTTTAAGAGAGACGTACAGAAGTGTATGCGTAGACGTGTCATCGTCAGGAAATGGAATTGTTGAATGGTGGTGGTTCTCGATTTGGTGCTCGGTCGAAACAGTCGTGATGAGCGTGTGTTGTGTTCGGCGGACGACGGTAGTCTACCCCGTCCGTCGTCTACATTTTTTCTTCCTCTCATTAATCATAGCCATTATTTATTCGACTCAATGACCAGACGGCGGATCGCTGCCTTTTACTGGAGGCATCTTTTTTCCTGATACCTATTTTTTCTATTTGGGGGAAAAACGGTAAGCAGATGTGTGGCAGATTGATTAGTGGCAGATTACTTGCACGCTCGCACACACTCACACACGCCCACTCACACACGCCCACACTCGCACAGTCACTCTCACACTCCCTCTCTC